AACTTTTCCCAATATCCAGCCTAAATCTCCTCTGACACAGCTTCATGTCATTTCCTCAGGTCCTATTCCTGGTCACCAGAGAAAAGATATTGGTTCCTGCCTCTCCACTTCCCCTCACGAGGAAGTTGTAACTGCAATGTGGTCACCCCTCAGTCTCCTCCAGGTTGAACAGACCAAATGACCTCAGTTGCTCCTCATACAGCTTCCCTTCAAGGCCCTTCACCATCTTCATTGCACTCCTTTGGACACTCTCTAATACCTTTGTGCGTTTCTTATATTGCAGTGCCCCAAACTGCACACAATATTCAAGGTGAGGCGGCACCAGTGCAGAACAGAGCGGGACAATCCCCCTCCCTTGCCCAACTGGCGATGCTTTGCCTGATGTACCCCAGGACACGGTTGGCCCTCCTGGCTGCCAGGGCACTGCTGAATCCTATTCAATTTGCCCTAGACCAGGATTCCCAGGTCCCTTTCCATGGCACTGCTTTCCAGCATCTACTTCCCAAGTCTGCACACACATCCAGGTTTGGCCCATCCCGTGCAGAATCCGGCATTTGTGCTTCTTAAACTTCGTACAGTTAGTGATTGCCCAGCCCTCTAATTTGTCGAGGTCTCTCTGCAGGGCTCTCTGCCTTCGAGGGAGAGACCTGGAGAGCTACATCTACCATCAGAAGGTCTGGCATCAGAGGCTGGAGGCCTCTGACATGACTAGTGGAGGGACTCCCGCAGCTACAGGGGAATGAGCTCTGCAGTGTGCCAAAACCATACTTCAGGGAGTGTATACTAGTAAGTCTGGGGGTAAAAAGATCTCTTTATGCTCTTCTTTACCAACTAGTGGCTCTGTTTGCTGCCTCTATTGGCTACTCCCAGATGGCTGGAGGGCAGCCCTTCTTCCTCGCCCTGCCTGCCTGGACTCCCACATTACTCCCTGTTGCCCTCCCTGTTCACTGTTCTCCCTACGGGCCCCTTATGAGAGAGTGGGAACAGCTGGCTCAGCCCATGCTGAGGGAGCCGCTCCAGGGGAAAAGCTGCCAGCTCCCCGTGGCTCTTGGCCATCTCCTGCAGATTCCCTGGCTCTAGAAATTCATCTTGCTTGCAGTGATTCCCTGCTCCGCTGTGTGATGTGCCTGCACTGGAGATGTTTGCCTTGGCGAGTGACCTTCACTTATGGGGTTTTCTTATGTCAGGTTTATAATAAGGGCAGGTCAAAAAGTACTGTGTAAAACTACATACAGTTCCTATTTTTAAAAAATATTCTACTGTATTTAGCAGAAGTTTTCAAAATGGCATTTAAAAATCTCTCCCTGATATCTTCAGCAAGTTCTATAATTGTGCAAGAACTCTAGAAATCTCTCCTAGTAAATGGACACACATCTTTGCACGCAGGGAACTCCAGCTTTGGGTGTTTAGCTGAGTTTTTAGCTTTTATGGTCTGTATGGTACAGCTAATCTTACATTAGAGCAGAAATTAAATGCAACTATGAGATCTCTTCCACATCACAGCAAGCTATCATCCCATTTTGTCATGGATGCATGACTGTAGCATAAGGTTTAATCCTGACTGTTAATGCTAATTTCATATCTACTAGAAAAGGCAGTTTGCTTGTGGCTTTGAATTCCCATATTATCAGGGAAGAAAAAAAAACACTATTTATTTTCTTAGCACACTGCGCTACTAGAAAAGGAGATGATTTTAGGACAATCAGGAATTGTTTGAGAAAGGAGACTGTCAGGCTAATTACCACTAGCTGTTTGGATGCAATAAAATGTCATAAGGATTTCTTAACATTAAAAGAGCTTATATTAGAAGAGAAACTATCAATTACCCCGTGGATTGGTGAAGCTCACCCAGCTGCACAGAGTGAATTTAAACCCTGTAATTCTTTCCAAGGTGAATATGGTGACAAAATGATTAGGTATTCTTGGTGCACATCCATCTTAATTAAGGCCTACCTCCCTTTGATGATGATGCAGGCAGTCCGGCTTCTCCAGACACTCACAGCTCGTGTCTACATCAATCTTGCTGACAAAGACACTTCTTGAGAGCATCTGCTATAATGTCTTTTCTCTCCCTTGTGGGGCTTCTGAGCAAAATCGCTCCTGTGGGCTCCAACAGTCCTCAGGATCAGCAGCTCAGAACTGCCCTAAACCACGTAAGTATCTGCTAAAGCACGTACATAACGTGATCCAACACTGGGCTTCTTTTTTCTTTTTCTGCTGTCTATTAAACTGGTAATAGACATTCTGATAGTCAGGTCAATTTACAACATACCCTCATGACTACAAAAAGCAGGTCCAGAAAGATGAGTTGCAGCTTCACACTTGACAGGTTTTCCGTGTGCCACCTGATTCCACTGATACACTTGATGAGAAGCTGGCAAGTTTATAAAAATAAGACCAATAGAAATTGTGGCCATGATGCATTTGTCTCAAGCAGCTGTTTATCAAATTGTGTTTAGTAGTGAAAGGAAATGTATGTTAATAAACTTAAAAAAAAAATAATTAGATAGATTCTTATGCATAGCCCAAACATGCAAAGTTACTGTAGGTAAATAATTTTTGAAATTATGTGCCACAGTGTTTACATTAAACTGCAAAGATACTCGCTTCTTAATTACATGGGTTTTTGCTAAATGATTTTTAGATTAAAGTGTAGAAAATGAGCACGTCAGCTACACCTCTAAAATTTAGTTTAACCAAATATGGCAAAGAATTTCCTTATATTTTTAATATAATAATTTTTTAATATAATCATTTTTTAATGCAACACAACACTCTCCTTGAATTGATAATTCACTTCATATAATTACAGTTACACAGAAAAATTAGGCAAATTTAAATGAAAATACTCTTAAAATCCCCTATAAAAAAAAAAAAGTTAGTGTACATAGATAGTAGTCATTTTTCCGTCCATCACTTCATTAGTTTAAAACCAAAAGTCCAAAACAGCTGCCCAAGCTGCTTAGATTGGACCATTTTATTTTATTTTATATATTGTAAAGGCAATTCTGAAGGACACCACCCTCATCAGCTTTAAAGCATTGGATTAAGAGAAGTGGCTTTATGAAGTCTGGGTGTGAGAAAACTGATAGTGACAGTGACATATTAATGTGTCAGTGATGAATAAATACAAGAACCTAATATTCAAACCACCAGCAATCTCATACATCATTCTCTCTCTTTTTTTTTTTTTTTTTTTTTTAAGGATATAAAAGATTCAAATGTCAGAACTATAATGTCAGGACTCTTTATAATGTCAAGTGATGTATGTAGCATGCTCTTACTACACCCAGAACCTGGGATAATAATGGTAGATGATGGAGTACATTTCACGTGCAGTGGACATGGATTTGAAGTGAATTTGGAAGAAAATAATTTTCATACTGAAGTCTTAAAAATTGTTTTGTTCAACCTGCACCAATCCTTGCACAAATTATTTTGTATAAAACTGATGCTTCTAAGAATAACTAGTATTAGTGTGATGCCTACCGGGCACTGTTAGCCAAGGAGAACTTAGTCTTATAATACAATAATTTGATAAAACTTGTTACAGACTTGAGAATCAATCCCAATAGAGCCAGAAAGAACTATAATATTCCCTTTGCAGATATTTCATGCCATTCCATTTCATCTCATAGAATTAATCTAATTATTTATAAAGTAAAGTTGTGTTGTTTTGAGCATGGTTTCCTAAAAAAGAGATGAGGAATATGTGATCCTGCCATCTGCAAATGCCTTCCCTTCACTCCTGACAGCTACCACCTTCAGAGACAATTGCAACCCAGTTTGAAAGGAGGTAGAAGTCTCAAAGAGACTCATTTGCTGAAAGCCCAGGTATCTGGGCAGGGCAAAGATACCTAAATTAGTACTCCCTGTCAGGGAAAGGCTGTCTGTTTTGGAGAAGCCAGCAGTGTCATAATCAGGGACAAGGCCAGTGAAAACAAATTGTTTTTCAAAGGAAGACATACAAGTCAAAGGACACAAATCTCTTGGAGTGCTTGCAAAATGATTTGGGTTTTAGCTATTCTTTGAACTTCTAATTTTGCTCTAGAAAGATAACAAAATTTAATTCTAGCACTTTTATAAAAGGTTAATTTGAAAGAACAGTAGCTGAACCATGAAAGAAACTTCAAAATATCACATTATTTTAATTTACGGATGTAATAAAATCAAGAGTGGTAGAGGGCTTGTTAAGGATGATACACATCTTAGGAATATTAAGCTGACTGAGGTGTTTCCCAGAGAATGTAATCCAATTCTGAGTACTGATTAGAGCAAATGTTAGGTTAATACAAAGCATTCATTACTCTTAATTGACCTGGATAGAACCCAGTCCTATCTAGGAGTTTGCGTCCATGCTTTAGATAGCAGGATTAAAACCCCCAGAATTAAAAGAAGAAATTTACTAACTCTGTGTCATCTAGAAAGGTTGCATTTTGTGTTATTTTCATTATTTTATTGATTAATCTGAACAGGAGAGAATGTGCTGGTTTCAGCTTGGATAGAGGTAATTTTCTTCATAGTAGCTGGTATGAGGCTGTGTTTTGGATTTGTGACCAAAACAACATCGATAACACAAAGATGCTTTCATTACTGCTGAGAAGTGCTTGCATAGCATCAAGTCTTTTTCTGCCTCTCACCCCACCACTGAGAAGGATCGAGGTGCACAAGAAGCTGGGAGGGGACACAGCTGGGACAGCTGACCCCAACTGACCACGGGGATATCCCACGCCATATGATGTCATGCTCAGCATATACAGCTGGGGAAGAAGAAGGAAGGGAGGGAATGTTCAGAGTGATGACATTTGTCTTCACAAGTCACCATTATGCTTGATGGATCCATGCTTTCCTGGAGCTGGCTGAACACCTGCCTGGCCATGGGGAGAGGTGAATTCATTCCTCATTCTGCTTTGCTTGAGCGCACAGCATTTTCTTCACCTTTTAAATTGTCCTTGTCTCAGCCCACAAGTTTTTGCACTTTCACTCTTCCCCATCCCACTGGAGTTGGGATGCTTAGTTGCTGGCTGGGATTTCACCACAACATGCTCAGAGAGACCAAGTAAGTTACTTTTAGTGCATCAAGTACCTTTTCTATTATAGGCAGGCAAAGCTTTTTTTTTTTTTTTTTCCTGTGGCTGCCACAGTCATGATCAAGGAAAAGAATAAAGAAAAGAAAAGGAGATATATGAAGAGTGAAAATTGTTACTCCTGGAGCAGGCTGCTCGCTATTGCCCGGGCAGGATTTAACAACATCAAGCTCTCTGAATATATCAAATATTATCTTCCTTGAAATGATGACACAAAGGCCACATCCATCACTGGATCCTTCAGACGCTGTTCCTCCTGCCATTCTGTATGGCTTTGAGTACGTTGGAAAGGTCAAAACTTTTCGAAATCAGTTCCATTAGATCCTCATCTTTTTCCACCCCGTTGATAAACTCTTCCAAAGTCAGTTCCCCTAAAAGAAAGTAAAATACTCCTTAGGAACTGAGAAACCCAGCAATCACTCCCCATCCAACACAAGGCCATTCATGCCAGATTGAATCCCTTAGGAAGGTTTCTGTTCTCTGCTGATAGGCAAATGCAGGTGGAGGATTTGATAATGTTTTCCTACTTTGCATCAGTCAGATCCTAGAATTCAGACACTCTTTTTGTGGTTAACACAGGTCAAACACAACTCTCACTGAAGTCTAAGACAATTGTAAGTGGTCATAAATGTGTGTAAAAGGGCACTAATGAAGCCTGTATCAAGGCTGACTTAAGATTTATGGACCAATTCTCAGTGAGCTAATTGGAATTTATCTTACAGCTGGTTTTAACAGAGATTAGGGTGTGATTTGCTGGGGATTACTAGGCATAGTACCTGTGTTGACTACTAGGATTATTTAGAGCCATGATCGGATGTACTAAAAAAACCTGGCTAAGTGGTTTGATTAGATAAATTCTTCCAAGGAACTGAAATGGCCATTCAGAGTGATTTTTTGGGCTCATGTCAAAATCAGTTAATATCTTAAAAGGTGCAAGACAATTTTAAAATCTCTTCTACTGAAAATCAGGAATACTGTTTTACTCTGAGATAGAAAAACAAAGAGTGGCTTAATAAGAAAAACTTGATTCTTTCCTCTGAGAATGATTTAAAGTTTCTTGTGAAATTCACAACAATGAATGATTTCTCACTAAAATAAGAAATGACAAAGGGCCAGCAAAGGAAAATAGCTGGATGAGTTAGGGCCCCAGGGTGCAGGGGAGCAGGAATTCAAGTTGTGTACACGTCTGATGAATGCTTAGCTAGCTGACTTTTGGCTCTTTTCAGGTTTAAGTACTACCTGTAGGGATTTTTTTTTTTTTGTGCTTTTGTTTATGTCCATGGCAGCCTTGGAAACTTCATTTGATGTGAAAAAGGAGAGCAATTGGCATTTGAAAAATATGAAAACCACTTTCTACCCATAGTCAGTAAAGGCTGCTTTCTGTTTAGTCACGTGTCCTTGCTGCACTGGTGACAGGCTCATATAAAGAGGAAAGACATAATTTGACAGAAGCCCTGGCTCTTAGGCTTCAGTGAAAGTCCAGGGGCTGGCATGCAGTGCCCTGAGGTTGTTTGTGCCTCTTCTTTCAGTAGCAGTCCCCTTATATAATCATCCCAGAAGCACAGACAGAACAAGCCATCTCTGTATGCTTGTATGCATCCCCTGCTTTGCCACTCATCCTCTCACTTTCTCTGAATTTTCCTCCTATCCCAGGCATTCCTTTCCATTCCCCCTCCCCTTCCCTCTGTATTGCCTTTGAGGTCTTTGGGTGGATGGGGTTCCTGGACTCATCACGTGGACATGTGGCATCATTTTCCTATTTATTCAGGTCAACTGGTCTTGAATTCCTTCCTTCTGTCCCCAGGCTGCACATTTCCAAGTACCAATAGCAGTGCATAAGAGTACAAACCACACTGCAGCTGCCAGTGAGATGTGGCTACACTGGCAGGCCCAGGCTCGCTGCTGCCCTGATGGGCCTCAGATTTCCTTGAGCTAATGAAAATAAATTGCAACACCAACAGGAGATCTGCTTTAAGAATTGTTCTTTACAGCCATGGGATTATTTATTGTTATTTCATGTAAGGAAGGACATTGCAACTTATTTGTCTGTTTGCACATTTCTTTAATAAGAGGCTACAGGGATGTAGCACAGCTGAAGCTAAACTTGGTAAAACTTGGCCTGTTCCTCAGGTGGAGCTGGTCCTGTTGCTTTGCACCAATTAAAAAACTAACAAGCTATGGAAAATAGTTTGAAATGGAACTATTATGAAGCTAATTCTAATTAATCATGCTCTGGCTTTTCCTTGCTAAAATGTATGACACAAAAGTTATTTTTCCAGCTGATGGTTTAGCTCAGATACAATTGTTACTTGCAGTAAACATTTGGTCAAATTGGGGAATAATCACAGAATTTGGGGGAGATGCTAAATCATGACTGTGTTATTTTGAGTCCTTTAATTGGTCTTCGCCCAAAGAATGGACCAAGGAGATGAGGGGAAAAAGTCCTCTACTAGTGCATCCTCCACATGTGCCACAAGATCACTGTTTATAATCTGATTATATATTGCAAACAGCTTTTTAAAAAAGTAACAATACACCAAATAAGACCATAAAAACATCCCCCTCCAAAAATGCCCCAAATTCCTGTCTGTGACTCGACTTTGTTCTGTAATGCTTTCCTAATATTCCTAATTTGTCAGTGATTGCAGCAATTGATGTAGAACGTAATTGTCAGTGGAAGGAGGATCTTCTGATTAGAAGTTTGAGGGGAGATATTCACATGTGAGAAGTTTTCTGTTAGAAACAACTCTGAAGCAGTGAACTGAAGTCTTAGTTTACAAGTGCAAGTCTAATTGGCTTAGTGTAGCTATCTTGAGGAAAAAACAGTAGCATGTGTCTTAGCATGTGTTAACAGTCAGCCTTCAAGGGACATCCAATATGTTGTCCAATCTTTAGAACATGCTAGAGCATGTGCAACCATGCATCTTATTTGTTTTTTTTTAAATGATTTAAATATATTAAGACAACTAAATATACTAAAAAACCCCCTCAATCACACTTTCATTTTGCTGTGCAACCAGAGAACTGGCATTTTTGACAAACAGTGCAAGACCTCTGTGCTTTAGCGCCTACTTCATGTAATTCCTATGTCATTGATTTACACTTCATTGTAAAGCTGAAATAATATGAGTAAAGAAGAGTTTCGGCTTTCAGTTAATCTAAAACAGTCAGTTCTTCAGTAGTGTGTTCAACTCCCCCTCTTGCAGAGGAAAGTCTCTGCCAATGCCAACAAAACCTAGATTCTTACCATCATTGTTCACATCTATCTTCTGAAATACCATGTTTGTGAACTCTTCAGCAGTCATATTGGTGTAGCCATTTATAGCTTGGATAGCCTGAGGGCAGAAACATAGAAAATTCTTTCAGAGTTTTTTCCATAGAGTTGCGAAAACAATACACTTGCAGCACCACTAATTGCAATGCAACTCTTCAGTTTGCACCCCTTTCAAAAATCACTAAATAAATAGCTATTTCAAATAAATCTCCAGTAATGAGGAATTAACATAACACAGCCTGAAGATTGCAGACTAATTTCCATATCTCTGAAAGTCTGAGGAACCATGTGGTACCTTTGCTCTGTAATACACTTTAGATTCCACACCAGCATTTTCAGCTGGCCCTAGAGAGTTCTGTGTCTTCAGAGAGTGCACTATGGTCTCTGTGATTTAAACACAGTACTGTTTTTCACAGCTGAAAGCACATGCAGAGAAAGACTAAGTAATTTTTCTATTAAGACATGTTTAACTTAGTAATCACAAACAAAGTCAGACCAGCAGTCCTGGAAGTTGGCAGAATTTACTTGACCTCCAAAGAAGTGAAGAAAACCAAAAGTATCCCCTCTTTTTTTTTTTTCCCTGTAGGAAGAGAACTCAATATTTATAGTAAAGGTATAAGTGAATGTTTTTGCAAAATTGTATCCCATTCACTGAGACGGTAATTTTTACACTGTGGTGATCATTTGGGTTAATAAAATAGGAGCCTCCATGTTAACATCCAGTGGTTCAGAGGCAACGAGGATGTGTTCACAGAGTTATATTCAAACTCAATATCCCAATTAGTAATTGACTGGGAAAATATGTGCACATGTAAGCAAGCATATGTGTTCTATAATGTGCATAGAATTTGTTTTTCTACACTTGAATTATCTTGAGGTGAACTGTGTTGTGTAAGAAAATTCACCCTACGTGCCAGTTGTTTTTTCTGGTATTTCTCATATTATATTAGAACTCATTCTATTTAAATAAAATGCGAGTTAAACCTATTCAGCACTGATGTGGAATTCTCAACTGTTACTGTCTTTATTTTACTTTACAGTTTTTAGAAACAGTATATCAAATAAGATCACAAAAATGCCAACCCCCAAAGTGCCCAAAATTCGTGTCCATTTCCAAAGGAAACGAGAATTTTACAAAAATGGATTCATAAACTTGTTTGTATTACTAATCCATACTTTAGATACTGTTGGTGTTTTATATGTCTGACCCTGCTGCAGTCTTCAGAAGATAGTTGTACTTCTGGCACAGTTAAATTTATTATAATGCTAAGAGTAAAGCAGTGGTTCCTGAAGTATCTGAGTCACTGTCTGCCACAGAATCACCTTAAATGGTAAAAGAAAATAATTGGGCATTGAAAGGGTACATGGTTATCTGGAAGGATTTTTGATGTTTGATAATGATTTGTTGGTCCAAAGTTTACATAGCTGTAGAGACGGATGGAGTTTTAATAGGAGTTCTGCGATTCTAAATTAAAGTCTCATATATGACATATCTTTTTGGACAAGGCCTTTTAAACTGATGTTTATTATAATTCCAGGAAAAGTACTTGTTAATGTTATTACTTTGATCTGTAATGAGACCTGTACATTTAGAGAGCACTATTAAGTCATATATATTTGCAAGGAACCCTAATATACCTTTTGGATGAAAGCAGCTACTGAAGTGCAAAATATTATTTCTCTAGAGAAAGTGAAAAATACAGAAATAATTTTAAAGAAAGTATTGCACTGCTTTGGTTTCGCGTGTTTGAAGTGGACTCATTTTCTGCAAAACTTTGACAATATTTTTATCCAAATGAAACTATGTGATTTAATATTAAAATTATATTTCCCTGATTAATTTTAAAAGAGGGGTAATGGTGTTTGTAGTAAACAAATTTAAAATCCTTTCAAAAAATTAAAATATTGCAATATTTTGATGATATCTCTATTTTTCTTGCAGCAAGCTCAGTTTGAGAGGCCAGTTTTCCACAATGGACTAGCACATATACTTGTAACCATCTGTTTTATGCATTATGCTGCTACACTTCTACTCTACCTTACAATATAGTTTATCACAGTAATGTCTCTAGTGTATCTACAGTTTTTCCCTTTCAGTAAACTATTTTGTCTGTAAAATTATGGCTTAAAGTAAAATACTACTTAGATACTCTCAATAAGGAAGAAACTAATGGCAGGAGTGTCACTAGCCACTGTAAATTCTGGTTTTACAGCTGTAAAACATTAGGTAAAGTATAGACAATCCACTTACAGGACATGAGGAACCACTGTTTCAGGGACAATGCACTATGTCAAATATTCTTGCTATTGGTCATAACTTGCTTACCGCGAATATGCTTAGTAGTTCTTTTTTGTCAATACATCCATTTCCATCAGCATCATATAGCTTGAAATACCATTTCAATTTTTGATCAATTTTCCCTCGTATAACCAAATTTATTGCAGCTATGAACTCCAAGAAGTCTATAAATCCATCCTAAGAGAGAGAGAGAAAAAACAACAAACATCTATTTAGCAATGCTGGTTCTCAGTTAATTCTGGCAATTGCACAGAAATGGGTCATAAAATTCACTACAGTACACATTGATTTATGAAGCACCCTAAGATAGAAATCTCCTGTGGTATTAAAAAAGGGTATGCTCAAGTGGAAGATCTATTGGAAGAGGTGTTAGCAAAGATAGTTTTGTTCTCCCCTAAAAGCTGGGAACAGTGTAGGCGAGGGGGAAATCTGTTCTGAGTGATTGTTATTGACAGGTTTTGAAGAGAAAAGAAACAGTTTTGTGGCAAAGTGCCACATGGGAAAAAGGGGAGTTTGGGATATCTGGTTTGGTACTGATGAGGTATCTACAGCACAGTAGTTTACATCCATACTGCAGAACTACGTATGATTTCCAGTGCAACAGAGCTGTCCCAGGTGTTTTTCATCTGAGAGATCATGTAATAATAATAAGCTGGCACGAACCCCATGAACTGTGGTTTACCCATATAAACATCAGGTCTTTCAGATGAATATTTTGCTTGGGATATAAAGCTGTCAAGTAATAAACTAGAGTCTAAATATTGAGGATTGGGTATATTCACAGAGAAAGAGCATTTCAGGTTGATTTAATTCTGCCTCCTCCTCTGAAGTTGTCAGGGGCAGGCCTCTATAGCCAGGTTCCTCTGTTTCTGTAAAAATGTGGTTAGGATGGAAGAAACAGTTGCTGAATTTGGATACTACTTGCTCCAACTGTTTCCCATGTGCATATAAAGGAATTAACAGTTGGTAAATTTAGTGTTGTGATCTTTATGTTGGTCAGAATCCAATTGCTTGGAAAACCTTGGAAAGACGGTAATCAGTTTCAGAGGGCCTATGACTGAAAAGAGAAGGTTGGATGAGTGTCTAGTAGGTTTAGCATGTTGCTTATTCTTATTGTCATATATCAACACACATCTTACCAGTTGAGGTTTTGCAATCAGCAGGCATTAATCTATCCTCAGTACTTACTGAAGGAAAAGAAGTCCTGTAAGCTTGCAGTGTGACTCACTGCCATAAAGAGAATCATAGACTCACTGAGGTTGGAAGAGACCCTTAAGATCATCACCAACAGTTAACTCAGCACTTCCAAATCCCCCACTAAACTGTGTCCCTAAGTGCCACATCTGACATTCCTTTCGAAGATCTCTAGGCACTATCAGTGTATTTTGGTGACAAGGAACAGCATGCAAAAAATGTCAACAAGCAGGAAATTACAAGATACTGAGATCGAGAGCTCTGCTGTCTACCTTCAGTTGAGAACAAACCAAAACAAACATAAACCTGTCCCCACCCATCTATCTTCCTAGTCCATGCTCTTTTTTCTCTCCTTCATTCTCTTTTCAGATTCCTCAGAGCTGTGTCCACATGATGCTGATCTGGGTCAGAGCTCCTAGTGCTTGTTTTGATTTCTGTGCAAGGCTGTTGGCAGAGTGGCACCTCAGAGATAAATCTAATGTATACAGACACACTGGATTCAGTGTACATGAAGAAAAGCTGCATGCATAACTTGTGCAGGCTGACCTTTGCTTCACAGCCTCTCTGCAGGTTCTCTTGTGGTTGCTGGTTTTACTCTAATTGCAATCACAACAAACACAGCAAAGGCAAAGACACCGTTCAACCACTGTTTGGGATTAAATGGAATTTGACAGTAACTGCATGTGATTTTCAAACGAAATTAGGCCCAGTATTAAAAGCAGATGCTTTACCAAAAATGACATATCACGCACCACAAACTTTATGCTTCTTTTTAGCACACCAGCTTGAATTTCAATTTTTTGCAAGTATTATTTCAAGAAGGATCTCATAAACTATTTTGCTGGAGGACAAAATGTAATTTGCTGATTAAATTTCCATCATCTGATTTGATGTATCTATTAAGAATATGGTTAGATGCATTTCACATTGCTGCTTTTTTATTGCATTTCATACTGCTTATTGAAGCTACAGATTAATTTTAGGATTGCCAAATGTTCAAGACCAGATTAATTTTGTTCTTTCTCTTTTTACATTTCACTTGTTTTTTTCGAAAATAGTATTTTGTTTGCTTTCTTTCTAAATCCTGGTGTCACTGTTGTCCTGTCAAAAAAAACATCAGAAGTCTGGACAATGTAATAACCATCTTAATGTGTTTGGGTATGAAATTCTGATCTGGTAAGAAGGGACTGAAGGCCAAGGTCAAAAAACTCCCACCTCTGAAAAGCATCTGAGAGAAACATTAATCGCCAAGAAAGCCCCAGTCACATTCTGTAATTGTGCAAATACCACTGGCAACACATTAACCAGCAGCCAGTCCACCAGAAATAGAAATACTGAGAAGAGAGACATGATTGTCTACATGATGTGGAACTGGAAGCATTGCATAAAAGCAGTGATGAGAAATGTACTGGTTTTCCTTTCTACACTAAAAAAAAAAATACACTGTAGGTAGAAAAAGAAACATTTATGTGATGCAAAAGGATGGCAATCTTGTTGCACATATACAGGGTTTTCTCAGATAAACAGAAATACTGCGCTTTTTATAGTAACATCTCAAAATAGTGCATTAAATAATGAAAAACATCATAACAGGAACCTGTGAAGATCATCCTGTGGTTCTGTGAGTACAACAAATAATGCAATAAATGTGTTATGATGTTATTAGAAGAATACTGCTGTGCTGATTTACCTATCTGCTGCTCTATAATCATTCACTGTACAAGTATCTAGGTAGGTCCTTATTTGCCTCTGAGGTCTGTAAAACATTAATCTCTGAGGCATGCATAGTGAAGTATCTGTTGCTCGTTAGGAAGTCATTACTTCAGAAGGAAAGGGTTACTTTAAAAATAATAAATTATAAGAAAATAAAATTAAAAAACAATCCCAACAACATAATAAACAGAACTGAATAGCAGTGGTGGATTATTTAAATAATTTACTTTCGATGCTTTACCCTATTATTGTCTCTAAGGGCAAATTTGTAATATTTTTATTAAACGTAGTTAAACCTGTTTATTTAGAATCATTTCAGCAGCTTAGGATACAGGACAGATTTGGGTGATGGATGCATTTATTTTGTGTGTGGGCTTCTTAGCAATGTCTGGATAGTGTTGGCCCTGCTTTCCTTGTCTGCAGCACAACCCCCTGGGATCCCACGGGCATCTGTAGGGATGGTGAATTCCTGCACCCTCCCCTACCCGAATGGGCAGAGGCAGATGGGGTCAGTTCACAGGGTGCCCCTCTGGGTATGGTGTAAAATAGAGGGACAGAGATAAAATAAAAATGTGTTCAAAACTCCTTTTACCTGCCCCAAAGTCTTCTGGACTTTCTTCTACACATAGTAGACTTAATAAAAACGTAGACCTCCTTTTATTCTTTTAACATCTTGACTGGATGAACTAGAAGCTTAAGGACACATTGGAGTCACGCACATGTTTGTGCCCTTTCGTACAGTGCTTTTGTAACTTGCTTTGCTTTCACTGATGAGTGATTTTTTTAAGCCACTTGCAACAGTTTGATTCACACAACAGACAAAGGGAAGCTCCAAAAATGACAGGAAAGTTTACTGATGATATGAAATTGGTCCTCAGGGCTCTGAGGGCACCACCGGATCTGACTGCCCCTGCCTGGGGTCCAGGGCCTATTTCAGTTTTTCATTAGTTACTGGATCTCCTGAGGAGAAAGGAATTTAATTTTTTCTTTTTATGAGAGGTTTTTGCTTTGGAATGTCAGTCTACTTGCTGTTGCTGGAGGCTGCTCACCGTTATTGGGTGACACACAGAGTTGTGTGTTCTCTGAGGGCAAAGCCAGACAGCAAGGGACCATCATGTTACATGATGGCCACTAATACCCCAACACTGGAGCTGTAGGAGGGCATTACCCTTCCATTCCCGGAATAGCATTGCTAATCTTCACAGATCCTTCAAAAACCTTATGACTTCCAACCACAGAGATTAAAAATAATTGAGTTGTCAGCTATGAATTCATAGCTGATGCGAAACAGCACGGTTATCCAAGCTTGCATCAGAGTGATCTGGACTTGCTGTTTTGGCTGCCTAGCTCTTACCTGACTGATTTCCTGGCAATGCTACGGGGATAGTCAGCCATGTTCAGCCACACACAATGGCTACACATGTGGAAAGGGACAGTTTCTGTCCCTATAAAACCATACGGTGAGTGAGCTCATTGTCTTACTTGGAGGACTCTACCAAGAGTCTATACACAGTAAGCACTGTCTTGTTTGCAAAATTTGCTCCTGAAAAATCTCTACACTCAACCTGAGACCAGGAGAATAGCTCAAATGGTTTATCGGGATTAATAAGTGTGCAAATATAGATGGTCCAGGTATTTCAAACCTGGGGCTTAGGTCATTAAGCTACCTTCCTTTCCTGCCCCCTGTCTTTCAGAATACTACTTAAACCTCTTAAGGCAGAGGGAGGAGGCATAGATCAGATAGCTCAGAATAACTGTGAAATTTATAGCTAATCCTGTGCGCTTCTCTCTCTCTGCACCCCATTTCTAATATAACACTGCTTTCTCCGCCCTCAGAAATCTAGAGGATTCATTTTGCTCCACTTCATCTTCCCCCATTTCATAGAATCATTTCAGGTGGAAAAGGCCTCCCAGATCACTGAGTCCAACCATCCTTGCTTTGTTTTTCCTTCTTAATACTTTCAGCTATTCCTCAAAGTTTGCACACACATTATTGAAGAAATATGGAGCTACTTGGAACTCTGTTACTTTGATACACATCCCTAAGGTCTGATGTTGGAGTTTGAGGCTCGAACCGAGCTCCAGATACCCTACAGGCTATGGCCAGAATCATCAGTTTTGTAAGTAAATAAAGCTGGCATTTGCCATGTGGCGGGGGAGACCTCAGCAAGCAAAGACTCTTAGACAAGGATAAAGAACAAAGGAGGGAATTGGGAGCTGCAGACTTGTTAAGCGGTTTCGTAATCACTGCACACCAACAGTTACATAAAGAGATGAGGCTGTATTGACCAGACTGTTACACAAGGTTCTGCTCTGCCCAGATGAAGAGGACCTGTGAGGTCTGGTGATCTGGAAATTATCTGGACCTTTGTGTTGGAGGAGTTGGAAATGCAGAGCCAGCTATGTGTCCTGGCTTGTACGCTCCCCTGGCAAAACCTGGGGAAATCCTAAACGTTAAGATGACAAGCAGTTTATTTCTTTAAAATTAACCACTACCCCCCAACTCCCTGCCATCATGCACAGTTTTCTTTCAAGATTACTGGAGAAACAGGGAGACAGGGAAGTCACCAAGGCATTGGGCTGTGCCCTCTGCTCAGCCTGCATCATGGCACAATAGTGCCCAGGAAGGCTGCACTGGAAAGACCTAGCACTCTCCCATCATCTCCTGGATGGTGGGGTTCAGCTTTCTAATTTTGAGTCTCTGCCTGTGCTTTTAGGAGCATCTTTCCCAACCTAAAACAAAGCAGTAGGCAAAAGAGAAAAACACCCTAAAAAAATATAACCATAGTAACACGTTTTCCAGCAAATTTCTTGCTGATAATCCAAGCAAATTTTTCTTTTTTGACAAACCCAAAAATGTGACAGGACAAACCTCCAGGAAAAGTACATCAAACACTCTAGCAGCAAAGACGCTCTATTTGGCAGATTATATCAGGTGCATTTATATAATGCCCTTAGAATCAAAAGGGCTGGATGCAAGAAGACTCCTAAAAGTTACACACATATACTTCAACTGCCTAAACTACTTGATATTATTAGATAAAGGACCTCAGTGAAGTAAAAAGTTAGTAAAAACACATAATTCAATTTCTGCTGCATTTTTTTTGCAAGAAGTATTTTAAAGTGTTGCTCACCCGCAACATTGTCACCAACAAATGTGAGTCATGTTTGCATACTTTTGATATTTCAAATAAACACTTACATGATAAAGGGGAAAAAGAAGAAAATGTAAACCACTTACTACTCTATTCTTAATTAATAAGGAAATAAATAGAAAAAAATAGTTGTGTTTTTAAAAAATGCTTAAAATGTCTTTAAATAAAAGAAGCAGATTCCTGAATTTTTCATATTAAAATTACTTTCCCCTTTATATACATTATAATTTCACATGTAATATTTAAAAGTAATTATGATTACTTGTACAAAGTTAATCTTCATTGCCTATTCACAAGATTACAGTGGCAAAATTAGTGTTAGCTGGTAATGGTAGTAATATGCTCCAAGTGCTTTTTAAGCTCAGTGAAAGCTGCAGAGTACAAGCTAATTTGTTTACACTTATATTAAATTTTCAAAGAAACATGTTAGAAAAGTGTAGTTGCTTCAGTCTGATGAACAATTTTTGTCCCTGAGTAACTGTGGAGGAAACAACTCTAAACCTGTTCTTTTGTTTTAAAAACAGTAAGGGAGTATAGGAACAGATACAGCACAGCTCAATAGGAGATTGTATAGCCAATGAAGCTTACTTTTAAATAAAATTGAACTTCATCATTCTTTGACATACTTCCCTTTCTATATCGACTAACACTGAGCTTTGCTACATTTGTTTCTGCAGGACATTCAGTAAAAATATATGTGATACATATTTAATCCATGTTAAAGAAAAAAACATAAAGCCAAAGAATCACTTGACCAAACCTCTGGGTGCTGGATTTTCACTGTCAGTACTTTCTGGCAACGATTCATTTTCTCTGGGTCTCTTATGCAACACAGCTGGCATTACAGCTTCATACAGGACCTGTGGGCTGGGCTTCCTCAACCTGCAGATTTCAGGTGCTGTGTCCTAATGTGAAAGGGGACCCCCAACAGCCACCTGCCAAAGCACGGTGGATGGAGTACGTGTGGCCTTGCACCACGCACAAACCACGTCTTTGGCCCAAGCATCGTCTACAGTGTGATGGACCCACTGCCCAAGTGCAGCAAATCTCCGTGGCAAATTTTAAAGAGAAAAATTTCTTGGAAATCCAGATTATCTTTTTGAAAGGAAAAAAAAAAAAAAGAGAAAGAAAAAGCCACTAAATTGTGCAATGCTGTAGTAGAAATCTGAGACACATACCACTTTAATGTCCCATAGAATTGGCCTTCTATGCTTGATAGTGCTGTGGCACTATTGGGCATTTTTTACCTCTGGTCCAAAACTTTTAGATCATAACTCAAAACACATAATGTCAAATCCTATAGTCAAGAATTCAACTGCACTTAAATTAAACAAGTGATGATTTTAATGATAATGTAGGCTTTCAGCTGATAATTACACGTTATTACAGCATAAGTTTGTATTCTCGGTGCAGTGAGTCCTGTGCCAAACCAGTAGGAAACAAGATTATGAAATTGCACAAATAATCCTGGGAAGTCCTTACAAAGTAAAAGAATCAACATACAAAATTGAACATAAAAAGAGCAGGAAGTAGCTCAGAAGGAGAAAAAAGATATTCCTTAGACCAGTCTATAAATAAATAGTGCTTCGTGGAACCAGTTGAAATATTCATAGAACATATTGCAGAGAATTTTTAAAAAAGGGTACTGCACCTTTCAAAGACACTTAAGCATGCTGAGAAAAATGATATAACTACACTGCCTTGAACACAGCAAAGCACAATTTAACCTCCTCATTTACAGTAATCAGGCTAGTTACTTTATATTTGAGATAATTTTATGCAACATTACTCCAGATTAAAGAGAAACAAATGACTTGGCTTTGTTGTTTTTGTTGGGTTGTGCCTGAAACTAATGGGAAATGGACTTTTACATGCCACCTTCAAAAAGTCTAAGTATTTCAGGAAATAAATGCTGTAGATTTTTGTTACTTCTGACAGAAGAATTCTTTCTGGCTAAGACATATCTAGATTCTTATTTTCCTCTAACCTTTGGTTTAGAAGCTGATTAATTTTTTGACACAGGTTTTTATTGATGACTACAATGTAATAGATATGACTGTCATGAAAAAAAAAATTTTTTAAGCATATGTTATTGTGGAGACTTTTTGGAGGCAATTACAAGAGTGAAAAAGGCTTCAAAATAAGGAAAAGTGAGAGCTAGACAGCTCTGGACAAAGTGGTAGTGCTACATGTGCTGGGCCAACAAAAGAACCATGGAGAAGGAATAGTGTAAAGCATAGCCTGCCTTGACACAAGATCAGTTTATGTGGCTCGTGGCCCCACGCTGTAGTGTGTAACAGCAGATGCTGCTGCTGCTGCAATGTTACACTATTTACTATTGCACCCAATTTATGATATCAACTTTGGTTATGTCTGCAAACATGTAAGAGTGCAGCCAACAGGCTAAGCAGCCTGAAAATTCATATCAAAGCAACTGTTTCTGGTTCAGAGGACACATCAGAGCAAGACAGTATGAGAAAGGAAGTCCAACTAAAGATAACATTTTCTAGCAAAGGAGAGTTATCAAAGACGTCCTGAGCCATTATAGTTAATCCCACAAGAGGTGGAAACACTTAAGATTTAGATTCTAGGTAGTTTCTGAAGCACTGCTCACCAGCACTCATTTTATTTCATCCTTTAAGGGCTCTCCCTACCTTCTGTGAATATGTGGAAGGCAGCTAACACAAAGTGCCAGGTTACCCTTGCAAAGTTGGGCCATGTCAATCTTTAACAAAATAAAGTCTTCACTAGAATCTCTAGACTAATTGCCTCATATAGATGAAAATAATATTTCTCTGTCTCTCTCGGTTCTTAAGAAGGGGAAAAAAGTGAAGGGAGAAAACAAGTGAAAGTCAAATGAAGGATAAGTTACAGTAATTGACAAAACACCTCTGAGAAATATTACATCTTTTTGTGAATGTTTGAATGCTTTTCATGGAATATGAGGTGCAACCACTGCTTTCACAGAGAATTTTGTGACCAAATGACTCTCATGTCCTTCTACTACAATACTAAAGAAGATGTATTTGGTTAATCATATTCATGTACCCATAACCAAAGAAGATAACACCTATTTATATCCAGAACACAAAATCAGGGGATGAAAAGTCTACACGAAAATCTGAACTATAAAGACACAGCAGGACAGTGGGGAAGAAGCTAGGTTAAAAAAAAAAAAAAAAAGGAAAGGTGGTCTCCCTCCCAACACTTGTCAGGATTGTGCAAAGTGCAAGGAGTGAAGGGAAACAATTATTCTTCAGGAAAAAAAAAAAAAAAAAAGTAGCCTGAGATTTAGTTTACATTGTGATATAGTCATTTTGACACACAACAAAGTTCTATTGAAGTGACACATTTTTGCTTTCCTTATTATCTGTTCTACATCAAACAGCCCTTTTAAACTTTATATTTTAAAACTGATTCCTTTAAAAATATTTTTTATCATTCTAATCTGCATAATTATGTCAGATGAACTCTATTTTATCAGAGAACTGCTTTAAAGTTTAAATGAAAAGCACAAGCTAGAAAAATAATTAAAGATTGACATCAACTAATGCTGTTCTAAAGATTTCTGAAACTGATGGGAAGTGTCTATTTCTGTGCATCTACCAACTTTATCTCGGCATAAGAAGTGTATCAAATATAGTGTTTGTGGTCTGTCCAATGCTTTATAAATGTTAACAGAATATCCTTGAACTTGCATAATTTTCCTCCAGTGCCACATACCTATTAATCTTCTTTGCTCTTCACAGTAATCCTACCTTTTAAAATCCAATTTTCTTACAAAGCAACTGACAGATATTCCTGTAGGTATTTTCAATTAAATAGAAAAGAAGCAGTAAGGGAACTACAACAGCAGTATCCCGTTTTCAGTATCTTCAGTGTATATATATATCTTTCAGTATCGTCACATTAAATGGCTATGGAAATTTTGTCCTTCACAGGTCCTAGGAACTTTGAATCAAATAACTGAATCAATCAATTATCACAGTATTCAGTTTTTATTTTTAGTACTGGCAAAATCTATCTGCAAGCCAGTGAGAGTGAATGACAATGATCTACGTCTCTGATTTGAAGAAAGAAGATATTTTAGAATAAGTGTTAAACAGTAGCAGTGCTGGCTATAGAATTTTTCCTTAGTTCTGCTTAGGAGCACCTAACACTTCCAGTTATATTATGGATACACCAGACATTATTTCCCTAGATATGTTTTCTCCTTTAACATCAGTGGAACCTCATTTTGACAGATATAATGGCTCTGAAATACAATACATATTCTCAGAGAAAACCAAATATACATCTGTGTACTTGGCAACTACTGAGGTATTTTAGATAAACATAGCAGTTTCCCCTCTAAAATTCATCAGTAGGATGCATGAACCAGGACTGCACGCCATTATGTGTGGACTGAGATGCAGAGGTAATAAAAAAAGTAGGAAAAATTAAATTTATTTGTATGTGATTGCAGATTTATCATTTTTGTATTACAAACAGCTTAAGGGTGAAGAAGACTGAGATAATTTTTCCCTAAAGAGGGACTCTTTTAAAATCTAATTAAGGGGGTCCTATAAAAATTAATTTGGATTCACTTGTATTTTAATAAACACATTATTTTTGAAGGTTTTCATTGGAAAGCTGTAGCAAAAGATAAACCTACCATTTATTATACTACCAATGTCATTATATAAATAATGCTTACAAGTATTAATGTATGAGTCATCAACAAAAATGTTTGCTGAAATGCTACCTCCTGCATTTGCTGTGATAATCTCCAGGAAATTTAACTTTGCAATTACAGTTCTGAACATTCAGCATCTTCATTTTTCAACGCCACTAAGAATAATGAAAAAACAGCTTTCAAACTTTGTTACCATATTTGTTTGTTTGTTTAATTATTAGCAAAGCATCCCACAGAGGTCAAATAAGGGCTGAAAAGTGTTCACATATAGCCCTTGTTTTTAAGAAATTTTGAAAAATTGAAGACATCTGTGTACTCTGTGTGCAAGGTCATTTAATTACATATCTGCCCGAGAAGAAAGCTTTTAGGGCATTGCCTTTGTCCCTAACCTCCCACAGAAACAGGCCCTGACCAGAAACAAACCTTTGTACATTGAACAAGTGCACTCTGTTGAGCCAGAGGTGTGATTCCCCGTACAGTACTACGCTCTGACACACACAAGCACAGGAGCTGAGTCCAAGAAGCCGTAGAGGCACAGCAGCATTGTGGTATGGTAGGTTAGCGCAATGCTCTGAGATTCCACGGTCTGCTGCCAAGAGCAGAGCTGACCTCAATCTCTGCATGGCACTGAAATGCTCTGTGAAGATCCTTCCTGTCACAGTGATTTCCATGAGTGAGGAAATCTCCAGTCTAAAGAAATACAGGGAGTGATGAGGCTTGGCTTGCAACTGAATTCCGGTTGGTATCTATCTGGAAATAGATTGATTTTGACAACAAATTGTCAAAAAAACTTACCACACTGCCATAATTCCTTTTTAACTATTTTCAGTTTACTGGAAATTTGTTTTCCTTTAAAATAACGATCCTAAGAAGGAGAAGGGTGTCTGTAACAGGCTTCAGCTGGAAGCAGGAAGGCTATGAGGAGGTGAAATGCAATTCACAGCTGTAATTACCTCCCCTTGCCACAGTCCCGTTGGCATCCCACAATACAAGTTAATATTCTACACCTTACATGCTAGAGGTTTTTAACTGGGCACACAAGAAACACAGAGGAGAAAGCCTATACCCCTTTCCATGAGTGTTTTATCATTTTATTCTATGATAGAATACCTCCAAGCATGGATGTCCTCAGCTTAACTCAAGAGGTATTAGGCTGCTATAA